ATTGCTTGCGGCCAAAATACTTGGATGCACGAACAATACCACCCAATATATATATATATTATATTTATTAATTTACTTAATCCTTTAAAATTCAAAGTTATTCCGCATAGATATTGCGCATATCTAAAGAATTGGGTGGTATTGTTCGTGCATCCAAGTATTTTGGCCGCAAGCAATCAGCTGACAAAGATTATGGTCCAAACGCGGAACGGCCAGATATGGATGATAACATTTTCGAACAATTCAAACTCGATCTGTATGAAAAGTTGCAAAGTCAACAACAGACTCGGGGACGTACTGGAGTATACTACTCGGGGTCAGCATGAAAACCCGCAGTGGCATCTCGTACGGAAAACATTGCTCACCGCTTCTAATTTTTGAAAGGTACGTTGCAAATGAGATACAATTTCCTGCAGAAGCTTGGTAAAAAATATTTTATATCCTCCTCAACTTAGAAGTGTACGACTATTTCCAAGTTCAAGGGCAACTGCACATTACGCAAAGAAAGTATTGTATTCTTACAATGAGGACGCCTGTTGGAACAAAGTATGTGATTGTTGAGCGCGATGATACATTTTGGAAAGACAAAATGTTACCATCGTTACAGCGATTCTACGAGGACTGCTTGGTTCCCGAAATAATAGATAGTAGAGTTGTTAGAAGCAAGCCAATTCGGGAACCGCAGTACATCATTGAAGCGCAAGAAGCGGCCAAAAGCAGGAAAATTGTATCGAATAGTTAATAGCTATTTTACTAGCTAGTAAATTTTACATTTTTATTCTTAGAGTAGGACAAATGGTGATTACGCTGCAAATAATGTTTATAAAAGCTTGTAGAAACTCTTCTCCACATCCTGACTCCCTTTTCAATGCGATACAAAACATAAAAATTACACGATATTTTATTAAAATAATCTTTATGCAATAGAAAGGTAGTTTCCATATCAAAACGTAAAATAATAAGTGTCTTCTACCGGGATCGAACCGCGTCCAGGGCAAAATATTCACTTTGCAACATGACACTCCACCGACTGCGCCACGATGTTTCTGACATCCCCAACACGGGTACGGTCGACACTCGTCAATCGAAATTTAGATATTTATTTCTCAAAAACAAGAGAGAGTTGCGCGTTCCTACTTTCAGAGATTCTTCTACATACCCTTCTTTACATAGAAAAAAATTCTGATTAAAGAATTCGGTGCACACTTTGCGTGCGTATGTTATTAAATAATTGAAACTTTGTTTGAATATCTATATAGTATATAATCTAATATTCTTTTTTGTTTTATTACAGAATGAGCAGCCTGGAGGAAGGTATGATTGCTTATTTATAGTAATTGAAAAATATTGTAAAAATTTTATATTAATCTTTGTTTGTTTTTCTAACAGTTACATACGGTCTTGATAGATTGACCTTCAGGGATACTTACATAATAGGACAATATGGGGTGTCATATATTGCCACACTACTGGGTATGCCGCAGCCCACGTCGCCACCACCAATCTTTGCGCGGCCCCAACGCGAGAATGTGGTACGTTTAAAAATAATCGTTAACCAAAATTATGTCAATAATTTTTTATTAGTACTTAAAATTAATATATTTCGTTATACTAATTTCAAAGTAACAGGCCGCGGCGGAGAAAATAGTAGTAAGACCACCTGCGAATCAACGAGGGCCACGGATAATCAAAAATGTCTATATTACACAAAATTTTAAAAAAAATAAACTAAAATTATCAAGTGTATATTACCTTAATTTGTATTTCTCATATACACCCTAGTCCAGAAGTTCCCCAACTTTTTAGATCCGCAGCTTCCTTAGTATACAGATTACACTGACCAACAAATTTAAACTTTTTTTAAATTCCGCGATATCCAGTAGGTGATTCTTATAGGGTTCCACTTCCTAAATACAAATCTGAAAGTGAAATTGCTTCATCACCCTTAGTTTTCGAGAAATTCGAGATTTTGTAAATACGGTCGATTTTGAGAGAAAACGTAGTACTACTTGAAAACTACGAACGCTAGAAAGTTCAATTTAGTCCTAAATGATAGAGGAATGTTTTCTGAATATGATTCTCTGCTCTTTTGAATGCCTGTAAATGAACGCCGAAGTTCAAAAAGTTGCCGACGCGAGTATTTTTCACGAAATACTTTTGTATTTTAATGAAAAGTTATTCACTTAGGTCGAATTTACTATGCATTATAGGTTTCAGCAAACATTTCTGAAGAGAAGTTGCCATAATCGAATTTCCAACAATTGCGTTTGACATTGTTTTCCAATCGGTTCAATAGTTTAAATGTTACGGGCCAACACATATGAGAAACCTTCAATTTCTTCGGCTAAATTAGAACACAACAATTTCTTCCATCGCCATGCAAAATTAGTAACTGTCAAATTATGTCCAGTTTCTTATTGTTTACGCATAGATCGCACTTTTACGAAGAAAACAAGCTTTTGTCGAATAAAATCTATCGATAAATACCGTAGTTAGGAGTAAAGGTTTGAGTAAAGGTACAAAAATTCCAATTTTACTCTGTTTTTGTATCATTCTCCTCTTTGTATAGGAAACGTTAATTTAATTAATTTCGATTAGAAATAAATGTTGTACTGCTTAACTAACAATTATTCATAAACAAATTTCATAATAATATTTTGATTACATAAAGAAATAAGTGTTTTCCTTCACATTTTTCAATTTTAATATTTCATCCGGCCAGTGAAAATATTTTTTTTCCAATTCGGTCCGGGGGCAAAAACAGTTGGCCATCCCTGGTCTAAGCCACGTGGAAAACCGTGTGTAGACTGGCGATATAGTAACAACAGAACAAACGACGACAGCGCCACAACGGAAAGCGCGACAGCGAGGTAGCCATATTGCCATACAAATCATCAAGATTTCACAGCATCGAAGCTCATCAAGTTTTTTGAAGCGAAGAAGCAATATTTTCTCACGAGTCTGTTACGTGCCGATATTTTCATTTTTATTTTTCTTGATTTCGTCGGCAGGAATGTGTTCGAGATGGTTTACCATCCCGAATTCGTTCTAATCGAACACAAACCTAGCCTTTGACGGTAGTTCATTAAATTCATTTCTGAATAAAGTTACACATTCCTTCCTTGAAATCAACGTCGTCACGCCATTTTCACCCTGCTGGCAGTGCCGCACCCCGTATAAAGTTGTAAATACGTTCAATTACAAATATTATAATAGGCTAAGTATTGTAAATACATCAACAGCTTGCTTGTTACGAATAAAAGGCGTAAATCATGTAATGTAACAGTGGCGTATACATGTATAATTGTTGGAAAGATAAGCACACCGAATATTACCATCGCGTTCAAATATCACGGTTACAGATATCATTGGAAGAAGGACATGTAAATATCGCGCATTTAGATTAAACCTTCATTTTGCTACTTCTTCTTCATGTACGCTCCGAACACCGAACCCGTAACTCGAATAGCAGCGCGATTCGTCCGCGCGCACGTTGTCGCT